CTAATACTGCAAGACCTACTCACCTACTTACAGTTATAACAACGACTGTAACAACAACAACAACTACTACTACTACTACTACTACTACTACTACTACCACTACTACTACTACTACTACTACTACTAATAAGCAGTACTGCAAGACCTACTCACCTATTTGCAATTATAAAAACAACTACTACTGCTACTACTACTACTGCACCACTGCTACTACTAGTACTAACTAATACTACAAGACCTACCCACCTAAATACTTACATAATGCATGGTACAGAGTATGTAAAGGTGCACTATGTAACTTTTCTGGTAAGAAGTCTACTATGTTCTTGTCTCCATGGCGATGTCCCACACTGTGACATATCTAAACATATCTATCTTGTGTTTATTTAAATGCATTTTTTTAATAATAATTGAAAAACATGCATTCTTACCGTGCGCTGGATCGCCTCTCCATAGATCTGACCTGCGAATTGCCAAGTTTAAAGCCGCACCTTGGAATATTCTAATACAAACAATAACAAGCGGATGTATATGGTCATTATTTTGAGGTATGTCATGAGAAAATGGTACAGGATTACCCCGAGATTGACTTGTATACAAATTACACTGACGCTTGAAATGGAATGTGCAAAAAGTTCCGCAGTACACCTTTAAACCCCCCCCACTAATCCCTCTGTTTACCCGGCACACCTCAGCCCAGACAGGCCCGGTTTGGACCCGCGGATCTCAAACCAGAGGAGACAGCCATCACCTCGGCAGCGCAAGCGTTAGTGAAAGCCATAAATGCCTCTTTAATATAGTAGTAATCAGCCTGGTAATTTGGCTGCAATTGTCCCTTATTGTTGCCAGACATGCTTCTTTTTCTCCCGCACACACACGAACGCCCGAACGCACCGCCACACAGCACACGCTCGGGGGCCAGACGGTGCGTTCAAGGGCTAATTCACACCACATGCCAACGAACTGGGCGGCTGCTATACTGAGGTCAAATGAGAAAAAGTAGAAAGGGAGAGAAAGGGAGGGGCGCCAGATATATATTTTTCTCTTCTTTTTTTCTTTAAAAAAAAAAATTTGAGTGTGAAATGCGTTGTGGTGTGTGTGAAAAGTGTGTGTGTGTTTTAATTGCGGTCTCAGCGAAAAGTGCGACTGATACACATGGTTTTCATCAGTGCACAGGCTGGCTCTGTCTGCAGCAGAGTCCTACGTGTTTTTACTGTTGGACGTAACTTATAATGTTTTTAGACCTGCACTTTGAGAATGATAAATGCTACGCTCTGTGTTTTTTACTACAGTCACTCCCAAACTATCAAAATATCCTTGTTAAGGCCAAGTTTTTTTTTTTTTTTCCATACAGTGTGTAGCATTTAAAGGTGAACTGTGTAACATTTCTTTTGGCGTGTGCACTTGTCTCCGCGGAGATGTTCTAGCTTTGTTTTAGGGATGTATTTTTTCCTGTTCCGATACCGATATTTTGGCTTTAAGCGTACGCCAGTGCCCGATTTTAACCGATATTAGGGCAGAGACTGAAAACTTTATTTATTTCTAGTGTATGGGAAAACAAGATCCACATGTGTCCAGTGAGGTTCATTTGGTCTTTCGATTATTTATTTCGTTTGTTTTCATACCTGACAGTTTTGATTGGTCACTCGCGCTCTTCCTCAGAGTGGTCATTTGATGTTGATGGCGCCACCTAGTGCCTCCACTCAATTTCATTTCTCTCCAGCGACTAGGTCAGGAATCGCAATACACTAGATGGTTCGCCAAAACACCGGAAGTGCGAGTTTGGGCACCAGCCAATCAGCGAAGAGTCATACATTCTGTGTTGGCAACGATTCCCGAGATGGAGGATTTAAAGCCGGAATAAAGAGAAGGTTTGGTGAATTTTATCAAGGGGAAAGACGTTATTTGGGAATATGTGAAAAGCTTAATATACCAGTTAGCCCCGTTAGCAGTGCATTACATACGTCACGACCAAATAGCAGTGATTGGGTAAAAGAAAAAAAGTACCCGCCTACCGTTGAGCGAACGAATTTTAAGTTTTTACAAAGTGAAACCGGCTGATGAATCAGGCTACCGGTTTATAGTCCCAAACTCAAAACAATTTGTCACTTTCCGATTTTGTGTTTAAATTAATAATGTAAAAAAAAAAAAAACAAAAAAACGGATAACGGCCTTTTTCATTTTTTGTGACTTAAACTGACGGACTGAACCAGGACTAAACTGGTCTCAGTCCTGGTTTAGTCCTGGTCTCAGTCCCGGTCTCAGTTCTGATCCTAGTCCTGGTCTCAGTCCTGGTCTCAGTTCCGGTCTCAGTCCTGGTCTGGTCCTGGTCTCAGTCCCTGTCTGGTCCCAGTCTCAGTCTCCGTCTCAGTCCCGGTCGGGTCCTGGTCTCAGTCTCTGTTCTGGTCTCAGTTCTGGTCTGGTCCCGGTCTCAGTCCTGGTCTCAGTCCTCCTCTGGTCCCAGTCTCAGTCCCAGTCTCAGTTCTGGTCTCAGTCTTGGTTTAGTCCTGGTTCAGTCCGGTTTCGCAGTTTAAGTCACGGAAACGGGAAACGGACGTTATCCGTTTTTTTCATTTAAACACAAAATTAAAAACTGAAAAAACGAATCATTATCCGTTTGTCATTATCCGCTCAGATAAAGAAGAAAATCGTTGTTTCTTCACTTTCTTATTTTTGCTATTATTTTGAAAAACAAATAAACGAACGATACATGGATTGTGACAGACCCTCCAAAAGGAAAGTCCCATAGTACGTCTTTAATATTCTGGTTAATAATCTCACTTTCACGCCAGGATTACACATTAAAGTCTTGTACATAGGATGCTATTAGTCGATAAAACATTTTCCTTTCAAAACATACATTCATTTATTTTTAAAAAACACCCCAATTTCACGAAGCAATTTGGTCCTTTAGTCCACAGTCTTTAAGAAAGCATTTATTTGGCTGGTAACGCACGGTTGAGCAAGAAGTCCCATCCTCCAGCCTGGCAGTTAATTTGGCCACACACACACACACACACAACCCCCCCCCCACACACACACACACACACACACACATTCATAAATCAATATTTACAGAGAAGTTTTCCTCCTCTCCGAGTCAGAGGAAGCAAATGTGTATCCTGTGGTGGCCCTTACAGTAAAGCGTGCAGTTTTTTTGTTTGTTTTCGGAAAAGTTGAGCCACGTTCACAAAAATGCCGAGGTCACGGAGGAGTCATCCCAAGTGTGAAGTGTGCCAATAAACAACAGCGTTACCGTAATATGACAAAACAGACAAGTATGTGCGCTACAAAAAGGCCACTCCAACACAATACACAGTAGACACAGACATAATAAGTAAATGATTAAGTATTAGTACACACCCAGCTGCTGTACTACTGCTACTGTATGTGTACTGTGGAGGTACATAATAGGTTTAAAGTAGAAAGCAAAGTAACATTTAGTCAAGTATCAGTGATTAAATGACTAGACAGAATTTACTAATACTTTAAGACTTACCGACATACTTACAATTATTACAACAGCAACTACAAATACTACTACTATTACTACTACATGTATACTGTTGAGGTAGATAATAGGTTTAAAGTAGTGAAGTACCGGTGACTATATGACTAGACAGAATATACTAATACTTTAAGACTAACCCGCATACTTACAATTATTACAACAGCAACTACAGATACTACTACTGCTACTACTACTGCTAATACTACTACAACTAAGCTACTACTAGTACTACTACTACTAACTGACAATGGTAATAAAACCTAATAAAACCGGTGACAAAATGACTACACAGACTATACTAATACTTTAAGACCTACCCACTTACTTACAATTACTACAACGGTAACTACGGATATTACTACTACTACAGATACTACTACTACTGCTACTACTACAACTACTATTACAACTTCTAAGTGACAATGACAATAAATAATAATATTACAGATACTGCAGATGCTACTACTACTACTACTACTACTCCTACTACTACTACTACTACTACTACTACTACTACTACTACTACTACTACTACTACTACTACTATTACTACTACTACTAAGTGACAATGACAATAAAACCAGTGACTAAATTACTACACAGACTATACTAATACTTTAAGACCTACCCACTTACTTACAATTACGATAACAGCAACTACTACAAATACTACTACTACTACTACAGATACTATTACTACTACTAGTAGTGCTACAACTACTAAGTGACAATGACAAAAAGCCTATACTAATACTTTAAGACCTACACACATACTTACAATTACTACAGCATCAACTATAAATACTACTGCTGCTGCTGCTACTACTACTACTACTACTACAACAACTACTACTACTAAGTGACAATGGCTATAAAAACTACTACAGTTCTGATTCTCTCTCTCTCTCTCTCTCATATATATATATATATATAAATTTTTTATTTGTTTTATTTTTTTTAACAACTATTTTTACCATTTAAAGATGCACTGTGTAACTTTTCGGTTGGGGTTCCATCACCTTCTTGTTTCTATGGATACGTCATTGCTCTGCCTGGAATGTTCCACAGTATGACATTAAACAGATCTACCTTACATTTATTCAATTACAGGTGGTTTTATGGCTCAAAAATACCTAGAAAAACTGTTATTTTGACTGAGAGGGGTCGCCTTTCCACAGATCTGACCTGTAACTTGGTCTGGGCGGGTCTCCATGAAGATAGAAAGGTTTAAAGTCATACTGTGAAACATTCTAGAAAAGTTACACAATGCGGCTTTAAACAACTACTGCTAATATTCAGAAGGTCTCAGGTTCAAATCTCACCAGAGGCAGAGGCACGTGCTGCTGTTGTGCCAATGAGCTACACACTTTACCAACTATTAATAACAAATATTGCATAGGTTCAGCGTTAAAGTGTGTGGTGTGTTTTGTGTTGTCGACGTGTTAAAGTGTGTAAAGTAACGGGCTCTTTTGTTGTGTGTTTGTGATAGGCTCTGCAGGCTGCCAGACAGTTCCTCCTGCAGCAGGCGTCAGGACTCAACTCACCGAGCAGCACCGAGATCAAACAGAGCCCTGTACAGGTACACACCAAAATACCTCGCTTTTTTACCCACTTCTACTTTTTACTTCTCTTTCTTACTCTTTCTCTCTCCCCACTCACCCTCTCTGTCTCTCTGTCACTGTCACACTGCACATGATCTGAGCTGTGTCTCTTTTTTTCTCAACAAACCAAAGTGAGATTTACTCAAGTATATTTGACTAAATAAGTACAGTGGAGTAGACCAGGACTAGACCAGGACTAGACCTGGACTAGACCCAAGAGTAGACCAGGACTAGACCAGGAGTAGACCAAGAGTAGACTAGAACTAAACCAAGGACTAAAATGGACTAGACTAGGTCTAAACCAGGACTAAACCAGGACTAGACCAAGAGTAGAGAAGGACTAGACCAGGACTAGAACAGGACTGGTCCAGGACTAAACCAGGACTAGACCAGGAGTAGACTAGGACTAAACCAGGACTAGAACAGGACTGGTCCAGGACTAAACCAGGACTAAACCAGGAGTAGACCAGGACTAGACCAAGAGTAGACTAGGACTAAACCAGGACTAGAATAGGACTGGTCCAGGAGTAAACCAGGTCTAGACTAGGACTAAACCAGGATTAGACCAGGACTAAACCTGGATTATACTAGGACTAAACCAGGACTAGACCAGGACTAGACCAAGAGTAGACTAGAACTAGACCAGGACTAAACCTGGACTATACGAGGACTAAACCAGGACTAGACCAAGAGTAGACCAGAACTAAACCAGGACTAAAACAGACTAGACTAGGACTAAACCAGGACTAGACCTGGACTAGACCAAGAGTAGAGAAGGATTAGACCAGGAGTAGACCAGGACTAGACCAGGAATAAACCAGGACTAGACTAGGACTAAACCAGGACTAGACCAGGAGTAGACCAGGACTAGACCAGGAGTAGACTAGGACTAAACCAGGACTAGAACAGGACTGGTCCAGGACTAAACCAGGACTAGACTAGGACTAAACCAGGACTAGACCAAGAGTAGACCAGGACTATACGAGGAGTAGACCAGAACTAGACCAAGACAAGAACAGGACTAAACCAGGACTAAACTGGACTCAGGAAGTGTAGTAAATGCTTTTTACACATTTATATATTCTTTATCCTGTATTTAAAATTACAAATATTTCCCTCAACATTTAACTCCCAAATCCATTAAACTCACTCTGTCTAATTTGTTCAGAAATTTAGAATGTCACAATTTACTACAGAAACTTCATTCCGTGGGCTGGACTCAAAGCATTAGATAATTACGTATTTAAACAAAAACGCATCCTGAATACGAGAGACCCTGAATAGAATAAACAAGCTTTCACCTACACAGTGCAGCGAGTCAAGAGCCAGTGTGACACCCAAACTCACATCTGCATCTTATTATCGCGTACACACAAAACAGAAAATGAAAAGATGCCAAATCGTCCTTGCATATTCACGTAGACAAATAAACTCACTGCGTCGGTGATGTCGCCGTGACCCGACCCCAGCCGAGTAAATAGCTAAACAGGCTATTGATTCATGGAGGTCGCATATTTTAAAATGTTTTTTGAAATGCGCTGGGATGAAAACAAGAGAGCTGAAAACACAGGGAGCAAGTTAGAAGAGTAATCTGACATTGAATTAACCCCGCGTGGAGGTAAACGTGTGTGTAGGAATGTATGGTCACTATAAAAATGTGTGTATTTGTGTCGGAAATGAGGCAGCTAATAGAGTTTTTCAATGACGTTGAGTTTAATTCGTTTAATTTCTGCTAATTTGTAGTGAGAGCTAACGCGCTGTGCCTGATTTTGACTGCCTTAAAACACAGAAAACACTTGAAACAGTTTGCAGTGGTCCAAAGTTATTCCTCGTTTACCTTATGCGTTCAAAATCACTCACCTCGATGAGTTTCTCAGCGCTTTTCGCAAGGTTTAGAGTGGAGTTTTGTCGCCACGCTAATGCTGACAGCAACTAGCATGCTAACAGTGCACTTCCTGAATCTCAGATGCGAAAATGCAATTCGCGGTTAGATTCAGAAGATTCAGACGCAGAGGTCGCACTTCTACCCTGTTTTTATAATATAGAAATATATGGATTTAGTCCTGAGTTAGTCCTGGTTTAATTTTGGTTTAGTTCTGGTGTCCTAAGTTAGTCCTGAGTCAGTCCTGGTTTAGTCCTAGATTAGTCCTGGATTACACCAGGGTTAGTCCTGAGTTACTCCTGGGTTTTTCTGGAGTTAGTTCTTGGTTAGTCCTGGGTTAGTCCTGAGTTAGTCTGAGGTTAGTCCTGGGTTAGTCCTCGTTTAGTCCTGGTTTAGTCTTGGGTTAGTCCTGGGTTAGTCCTGGGTTAGTTCTAGGTTAGTCTTGGATTTATCCTGCGTTAGTCCTGAGTTATCACTGGGTCAGTCCTGGTTTAGTCCTAGATTAATCCTAAATGAGTCTTTGGTTAGTCCTGAGTTAGTCCCGGGTTAGTCCTAGGTGAGTCCTAGGTGAGTCCTAGATTAGTCGTGGGTTATTTCTTATTTAGTCCTAGTTTAGTCCTGGGTTAGTCCTGAGTTAGTCCTGAGTTAGTCCTGGGCTAGTCCTCAATTAGTCCTGTGTTAGTCCTAAATTATCTCTGGATTAAGCCTGGGTTAGTCCTAAATTAGTCCTAGGTTAGTTCTGGGTTTGTCCTAGGTTAGTCCTGGGTTAGTCCTGAGTTAGTCCTGGGCTAGTCCTGTGTTAGTCCTGAGTTAGTCCAAGGTTAGCCCTAGGTTAGTCCTGATTGAGTCATAGGTTAGTCCTGAGTTAGTCCTGGTTTTGTCCTAGGTTAGTCCTGAGTTAGTCCTGGTTTAGTCCTAAGTTAGTCCTGGGTTAGTCCTGAGTTAGTCCTGGGCTAGTCCTGTGTTAGTCCTGAGTTAGTCCAAGGTTAGTCCTAGGTTAGTGCTGAGTTAGTCCTGGTTTTGTCCTAGGTTAGTCCTGAGTTAGTCCTGGGTTAGTGCTGAGTTAGTCCTGGTTTTGTCCTAGGTTAGTCCTGAGTTAGTCCTGGGTTAGTGCTGAGTTAGTCCTGGTTTAGTCCTAGGTTAGTCCTAGATTAGCCCTGGGTTAGACCTGAGTTAAACCTGAGTTAGACCTGGGTTAGTCATGATTTAGTTTTTGCCAGTTTTTGTATCACGTAGATCAGAAATGACAAAGATACAAACCATAAACCAAATCAAAACAAACGTATCCTCACCTCTAAAATCCCAATGGCACCACTGAACTCTCACCTGCTCCAGCTCAACTCTAAACCTTTTTTAATTATTCTTTTCTTTTTTTTTTATATATTTTGCTGTCAAGTGAAAATAAATACAAGCACAAGCAGAAGAAAGTGCATCCATTACTCCGAGTTGTTTACACGTTGTCACCTTCGTCACGTCACAACCTAAACCTAAAAGCGTCGGTTTGACTGGGATAATTTTCCGGTCATTTTGCGAGCGGGCATACAGCTCTGTACAGTGACACGCCGGCACAAAATGTCCGCCCGTCAGGTTAGCTCCCCGCTGTTCAGCTCTCACAAATGCAAATGAGCCCAGCCAATAATAAGATCTTTAGGAGCTTGATAATTACATTTTTTCCCTTTTTTCTCAGAGGGAGAGACAGGGAGAGGAAAGACGAGACTTTTCTTTCTTATTCCTTCTTTTTTTTTTTTTTTTTTATAGTCCGCGCTGTCAAGACGACCACCCCCATCCGCCGCCGAAGCTTTTTTATATATTTCTATTCTTTCAGTACAGTGGAGCGGTTGAAATAGCGAGATAAGATCGGCTTTTTTGATTGGTTGTTCAGAAATAGTGCGACGCTGGTGTGTGATGTTATCTGCGCGTGCTGATGTACTGTCATGTGTTGGGTTGAATAGACGGGGTTCTCAAGCTGAGGTGCGGGGACGGGGGAGGGACGTCGGGCTCTTCTGGTGGGAGGTACAAGTGTTTTGTGGTTTAAACTTATGATGGTAGGTTACAGGGTTGTTGAGTTATGTTAGACCTGGTTTAGTCCAATTGTAGTCCTGGTTTAGACCTGGTTTAGTTATGGTTTAAACCTGGTTTAGATCTACTGTAGTCATAGTTTAGACCTGGTTTAGTCCTACTCTAGTCCTGGTTTAGATGTGGTTTAGTCCTACTCTAGTCCTAATTTAGATCTTATTTAGTCCTGGTTTAGTCCTGGTTTAGACCTGATTTAGTCTTGGTTTAGACCTGGTTTAGTCCTGGTTTAGACCTGGTCTAGTTCTAGTTTAGACCTGGTTTAGTCCTAGTTTAGACCTGGTTTAGTCCTGGTTTAGACCTGGTTTAGTCCTACTGTAATCCTTTATAGATTTGGTTCAGTCCTGGTTTAGTCCTACTCTAGTCCTGGTTTAGACCTGGTTTAGTCCTTCTTTAGTTCTGGTTTAGACCTGGTTTAAACCTACTGTAATCCTTGTTTAGACCTGGTTTAGTCCTGGTGTAGACCTGGTTTAGTCCTACTCTAGTCCTGGTTTAGTCCTAATGTAGTCCATTTTTTAGACCTGGTTTAGTCTTGCTGTACTCCTGGTTCAGTTCTAGGTTTAGTCCTACTCTAGTCCTAATTTAGATCTGGTTTAGACCTGGTTTAGTCCTGGTTTAGACCTGGTTTAGTCCTAGTTTAGACCTGGTTTAGACCTGGTTTAGTCCTGGTTTAGTTCTAGTTTAGACCTGGTTTAGTCCTACTGTAATCCTTTATAGATTTGGTTCAGTCCTAGTTTAGTCCTACTGCAGTTCTGGTTTAGACCTGGTTTAGTTTAGTTTCCTCAACACAATCAGACCAGGAGTTGTGTTTTGTTTCAGTCATACATTTTTAACACACAAACTCTGCAGATTTAGTTCTTCTCTCAACTTGAAAATACTCTGTTCCACCTTGTGATGTCATGTGGTAATACAGAAAGTGCTTCATTGCGTCTTTACACTCCATACACCTTCCCTAGAATCTTTTGGATAATTTCATCTCTGGAATTCCCGAATAAGCGTAGAAAATGTAGACTCTTTAAATAA